AAGCTAGCTTTTCCTGGACACATGTATAGTAGTCTGAGTAGCGTTGTGCTGCAGTGGTGGCAGCTGAGCAGGCTGAGCATTTTGCCTCACAGTGCCCACACGTTGGCGGCGGCACTATGCCTTCCTTAAGCTTGAGGCCAACTGCTTATGGGAGCTCTGCTTTTTACTCTCCGAACCTGCCTGCAGCTTAAATGCTTCCACCACAATCCTCAAGACGTGGTCCTGGAAAAGCCACGCCCCAAATGGATGCCTCAAGAAACCGATTTGCTTAAACGCCCATTTGCCTGAGGCACTCGCCAGCTTGACGCCACCTTCCGGTATCACGCTCTGCTCCTTAGAAAGCCGTTCGCCTTTACACCTAACTGCTCAGTCTACGTTTGGGGAGGAAGCTGTTGAAGCACTGGGTCTGCGACGCCGCAAACCGGGCATTGGAATTGAGATCCAGGCGAACAACTTCCCATGTGGCTTGCCTGGATTAGAACATCTGCTCGTGCTTCTCACCTATCATCGCTATCGTCTCATATGCAGTGAGGCTGCACAAAGATGGTGCGAACACTCCAAGGTGACGGGATCCTCAGGCTACACGAATGTTTTTTTTTCTGCACGGTGTGACATGGCTAGACAATGAGTTGCCGGCAGTGAACATCTCGTGGCACACGGGGCATAGAAGCTCACTCTCCATGCCCCTTCCGGCGAGTTGAAGATTCTTCCAGATGGACTTTGGATTCTTGGTGCTGCTCCAGATATACAGTGCGGATGAATAGTTTCCTATTTGTTAATTTTGATTCTGCCTCTCTTGTGTGTTGATGTGTTGCGTAGCCTCCTACCCCTGACAGCCGAGACAGCATCGACCCGGGTGCGGTTGCATTGTAGCATCTGCCAACAGCCACTTTTGGTCTCACTCTCTGAAAGTTTGTCGGGATCTATAAACATGTATCATGTGGGTGTATACCCAAGCAAAGCCAGATAGGGTTTATCAAGGGCTGCGGAGTCGCTTAGCGATTAGGGAGTAGCCTAGCTCAAACCCTCTAGCTCTTTGGTTACATCTTAGCGTGTAAGATTCGCACCCCCCCTCAAAAGCTGAGGGCAAGGATGCTGGTCATGTAGGCAAAATGCGGTGTTCCCCGCATGTCGCGGGGTGGCCGCCAAAATGGCGGAGTGGACCGCCCAGGGGTCCCTCATGATGTGCCAGCTCAACAGTGGCATCGTAGCGCACTGTGAGCAGTATCCACCAAATGTGGAGTCCTGTAGGCATCATATTGTGCCCAAACATGTCTGAGTTCCGTGGTCATGGGGACTCCTGCCGGCCAGGTTTTACCAGGAACCGAAGCACGTCCTGACCAGTTCCTGAAGATGTGGGCTGTGCGCCTTGTTGGCGCATAGTACATGTAGCCCTGATCCCTCCATGGGATCTGCCTTGCACCCCTATTTCGTCTTCTCATCCCCCCTAATATCTCCCTTGGGGCGGCACAGGTGGTGCGGCTGCTGCTGCTGCTGCAGCTGGTGCAGGTTGTTGAGGGACAGGTTCCTGGTCAACAGGCTCTGGCTCTGGGGCTGGTGGCCTGTAGTCCTTCAACGGAGGTGCTCACACTTGTGGTGCTGGGGCTTCTGCAGGTTGTTCCTGCTCCTCCTCCTCGCTGGGATCTTCATCTGGCTGATTTTCAGCCACACGGATTTCATCACCGTGCTCAACCTCTTGAGGTAGGATTTCATCTTCCTCATCTGGCTCACCTTCAGGTTCTGGGGCCTCGGTGGCTTTAAGACACCGCCTGTGGCAGCACCTTGCTATGCACCAATGTTCCTAAAATGAGGAACAACCCAGTCAGGAGTCCTAGAAGGATGATCCCATTTAGGATCTGGTCCAAAGGTCCTTCATAGTCCTGTGGGCCCTGGGCTCTTATGCCTAGGATTTGAAGGGCGGTCGTACCCCAATCAGGCACAGTTTGGGCCTGAAGGGAAGCAAGGGCTGCCACTTTGTAGCCCGGTTTATCCGCACTGTCTTCACAGAATGCTTTTGCAAAGCGGTGGCGCCCGCGACTGTTTTGAGGCCTAGCATGCCAAAAGATGGCAGGGCTTCCTGCATTTCCTTGCCAGTTTGGGCATGTTTTGTCAGGAAGTTGCCAGGATTTTCGGTACCTTTCACTTTTCTACGCAATACCTTTCCGACCTGGACCGCGCCTTGCACCTAAAACTCACACACTTCCAGGTGCCTCAGTTTGCTTCCTGGGCCTAGTCTTTTGGCAGCCGAGGGTCGCAGCAGTTGTGCGTTGCTGTTGGCAGCCACGGCACTTGGGTCAAGTAATCTTGTTGTCACCTCTACAACGCGGGCAAGACCAACGTGTGGCTGGTATATCGGCCTGTCAAGAGGCCCTTGTCTCTCAGCATTCTCCGCACGCTGCCTTGACCCACTGGTTGATGCAACCACATAGGCAGATCCATCCCCATGAGGTTGAGGCTGCCTTTGGTGGTGCAGGTGGGCCGGTGACAGCTGTAGCTGAGGCCTTTGTGGGCGGCGGTGGAGTAGGAGCAGATCGTGCTTTAGTTGAGCTGGGTGTTGTGGACGGTGTCGGCCTGGTACCGTAGTCAACCTTGAAGCCCAACCCGAAGCACCATCAAGCGTAGGACCACGTCCTTGACCTTGCCATTGAGGATGAAGATCCGCAAGGGCTTTTGGTCGGTGCACACCAGCCGTCGCCCGCCCATGTGTTTTCGCGACGACACGTGTCTTTGCCCGACCTGCCTTCGGGAAGCGTCTTCGCGTGCTTGGGTGTCTTCGCGACGAAGCGTGTCTTCGCCCGACCTGTCACACCCATGTGTTTTCGCAATGACACGTGTCTTTGCCCGATCTGTCTTCGGGAAGTGTCTCATGTGCGCCCTTGTGTCTTCGCGATGACACGTGTCTTTGGCCGACCATTCTTCCGGAAGTGTCTTCGCGCACGTGTCTTGGCCCGACCCGGGAAGTGTCTTTGCGCGCCCATGTGTCTTGGCGACGACACGTGTCTTTGCCCGACCATGCTTCAGCAAGTGTCTTCACGCGCGTGTCTTCGCGACATCACGTGCTTTTGTCCGACCAGTCTTCGGCAGATATCTTCTGACGCGTAGGTGGCTTCACTTTGTGAAGTATCTCGGCCAGGGCAGTGTTCTGAGAAAGTGTCTTCAGACGCCCACATGTCTTCGCTCCGAGAAATGTCTTTGCGTAGCATGCGTCTGCTGACGCGGAGGTGTTTGCGCAGACCGTCCTTAGGAGCCTCATTCCTGAACCCCACCTGTGACTTCAAATGTGTCTTCGGTCTTCGGTGGAAATGAGCACCCCCCCCCCCTGCCCCCCACGCGACCGCAATGTTATTTTGGCTTCGCGTGAGATATCTGAGGGTCTTTGCGCAGAAGAGGGCAGTGGTTCTGCAAATGTGTGACCAGGATGAGGAGACTGGATCAAAGCGGATCTTGGGAGTCATGCGCATCATTTGACTGACCATTTACCATGTTGTAGGAAATGAAGAAGTCCAAGGTGTGCTTCAGCTTTCTGCTTTGTGCAAGCGTCTGCGAGGTCATAGTCGAGGGCCAACCAGCGAGGTTCTGTTCCTGTGCCACGAAGATTGTTGCGAAGCTGAAAGGTCAAGGCCGCGCGCATGTGCGAAAGAGGAGCGTTGCTCTGCCTGACTTCTGGCCCCTTGCAAGGGATGACGCGCACTTCAGAATCTGTGCGCAAGCATCTCCTATGCCAAGGAAAACGTGGAATGCAAATATGGGTTGTGGCGCCTCGTCAGGAGGCTCGGGGTCCTTGAGACGTCCCCTACCCTAGCCGCCCTAATCGTCAGTAATTCTCCGATCAAGCAACACGTTATCAGCACACTGGAGCAAGTACAGAGCAAAAGGAGGCGGGTTTGAGGGCCGTGCGAAGACAGAAATCGTGCGTGCGTAGTCGAACCCAGTAATGGGAGATTTGAGGATCTTGAAGTCGCCAGGCTCACTCACACATCAGCCAGCAGCAATGAATGGTGCTCAGTGAATGGCATGCTCGTTCCGACCATCTGCAGGGTGGAGAAGAGGCATAATATGGTGGAGAAAGTGTGGAGAACCTCAGGAAGCTGGATGAGCCCCCCCAAACCCGGGGCGAGGCGAGCCCAGCTAACAAAGCCCAGGGCGTCCGCTTCTCCTTTTTTGGCCCTTATGCGGCTTACCAAGGAGAACTTGAATGAATCTGTCATCTAAGCTGAAGGTTATCATGGCTCTTTTCAGGTTTTGTCATGGTGTTTCGCGAAGACAAACATCCTGGGCAACAAGGCCGTGGCATTACGATCCTGTTTGTGCCACTTTTAGCTGTCTTCTCAGATTCTGGGATTGAGGGTTGTGGCAAGGTGGCAGGATATCACCCGCCGTACGAGGGCATGTTCATAGGATGGGAGAAGATAGGCCAAAGCCGGCACACCCTCGAGCCCCAGGTCCTACATGGGTCCTAACATGTAACATGCAAACGAAACTGACGTTTCAGACACGCTCGCTACTTCAATGCAACTGACTCGCTTTGATCTTTGCGGTAATGTCGCTGTAGTGCAATCGGTTCAGGCTTCGCTTCGCGGAACCGCACTATTCGTCTGCACTGTTCTCAAGCACCAGCACAGCTTTTGCACGACTCTGACCCTCTCGGACCGCACAGGCGCTAAACCTGAAAAGCCGGATGGGTAAAGATGAGTCATGAGGGTTCAGGAACCAGACCTGACTGAGCGTTGCTGCTATCTGGAAAGTCGAAAACATTCCTGACACAGTGAGTCGCAGCTGCGAATCCTGGTTCGTGCTACTTGGTGCCTGTGCTTGTGCGATGCAAACCCGCGTCTTTTTCCCCTCTTAGCGGTCTTAGCGGGTATCCCCGAAACGAATTAGTGCAGTCACAGATTGTCTCGTGGCGATGGAGGCGATAGCTGCGGAACGCCTATTCCTGTCTTTGCTTGCTCTCACAAGCACTCTGTGACATCTGTGACACTCCTGGATTGTGAGACCCCTCACTCGGGTGGACCCGAGGAAGTCCGCTTTAAGCCTCTCCTGCCTGACATGATGCAAGATGAAATATCCTGATAATGCACATGAAGATGAATGATTGAATGAATGAATGAATGAATGAATGAATGAATGAGTGAGTGAATGCGACATGCCTGCGCTTTGGGAACGGGCTTTTGCTTTTGCTTTTGGCTTTGCCTCCACAAAGCGCCAGCGATGCACCAGCAATGCAAAGTGGCAAAGGCAGGCGCCTCCTCCTTTGACCCAGCCTGAGAGAGAGAAAGGTCTCAAGGAAGCATGATGCCTTCAAAAATGTCTTGATGAGGTGTGAGCGCGATCAGGTCCCGAGGCGCTGCGTTTCAAGCCCTTGCCTCATTCGGTAGTACAGGCAAAGACAGGCGAAGGGGCACAAGCGAAGGGCGCCCCCGCGCCTCCCGCGCCTCGTAGACTCTTTTCACTCTTTTCACTCTTCTCACTCTTGGCCTTGGCTTTCTGGATCTTGGCCTTCAAAGCAAAAAAAAGAAAGGCAATGCATGGTTGTGTCAGAAGTTATTTTTTGTTTTTGGCCACGTGCCTTCTCTTTCTCCTCTTCGTCTCTGGCAGCCTCAGCACGGCACTGCACTGCACTGCACGGCACTGCTCCAGAAAGCTCTGAGGTCCTCCTGCTGTGCCGTGGTGCCGCAGCCCACAGTGCCGAAGGCGAAGGGGAAGGCGTTCGTTGAAAGAAGAAACCACAAAAAAAAAAAAAAAAAAAA